TCTATTCTATTCTATTCTATTCTATTCTATTCTATTCTATTCTATTCCATTCCACGCCACGCCACGCCACTCCACTCCACTCCACTCCACTCCACTCCACTCCACTCCATTCCATTCCATTCCATTCCATTCCATTCTATTCTATTCTATTCTATTCACCAAATGATATGGATGCTGTAGACCTATGCAAAGCTATTATGATGAAAAGCTTTTCCTGCCACAGGCCTTGAGTTTTAATTCTCCACCTGAATCCCATATGTCATTAACAGTCACTGAGCACAACCAGAAAATAAGATTGATTTAGCCCTGTTTTTCATAGCTACTTCAACTGTAGCCATATCTCTTCGAGAGAGATTCTTGTATTCCCATTCTGTATGGGAATGTGGCGCGCGATGACCAAAGAGTTGATTAAAATCACTGGCATTTTAACTATCACAAGAGAAGCTTATCTCCAAAGCTGAATTAACAAGCCCCTTTTCAAATGGATACCAGGCACTGACTCATTAGTGTAAGGAAAAAAAAAATGTGCATAGCTGAAGTTGACCTCAGTCAAAGATATGATCAAAAATTATTACCGGAAGGTATCGTTTCTGCCTTAACACATGAAGGAAACAAGGATGAACACACCACTGCTCCAACCTTAGGATAGGGAGTCTGCAAACTTGGCAACTTTTAAGACTTGTGGACTTCAACTCCCAGAATTCCCTACCCAGCAGGGGGAATTTTGGGAGTTGAAGTCCCCAAGTCTGAGGTTGGATACCCCTGGTCTAGGGAAAGCAGTAGAACACTGTAGAGAAGCTACACCTCGTTCTTGAATGTTGGATGCAAAAAAACCCTCACATTTAAAATACTGTGTTGTTTCAAAATATACACGTACTTAAATGTACGTCCCTATTGACCCTATTTCACCCTAGCAACTTTCTCACCAAATTTAAGTTCCTAAAAACCTGTTCAGGAGGCAGCAGGTCCCATCTGCCAAATTCACAGCATTGCAAAAATGTGATTAAAAATGTTCCAACTCTCCTGAGCAACCTTCAAAACCATTTCAATCTGCTACATTTTGTGTGTGGGGGGGGAGGGGGGGGAAGAGATATCAATTAAATTTCAGAAGTCTAGGAACGCCATCTAGTGGAGATACAGGCCCTGGGTTGTCTATGGAGCGCCATCTAGTGGAGATACAGGCCCTGGGTTGTCTATGGAGCGCCATCTAGTGGAGAGACAGGCCCTATGGTTGTCTATCCATATCATGGTTGTCCCAAAAGTGCTTTTATTTTAAAGGCAACTGGATTTTCTGATTTAAGACATTTCGCTTCTCCTCCAAGAAGCTTCTTCAGTTCTGACCACTAGAACTGAAGAAGCTCCTTGGGTGAGAAGTGAAATGTCTTAAAGAAAAACCATTCTTGCCTTTAAAATAAAAGCACCTTTGGGACAGGCCCCTAGGTTGCTCATTCCTTTTAGGAATTATTATCAAGGAATTAGGAATGCTAATTCCTTATCG